TCCGGCAGGCTGGGCCGGGATCGACGGCGGTCTCTGGCGAGAAGCTTGTTTTTGGGAGATCACAGGAAGAAGATGGGCTGGGTGAAATGAATGGCTAGGGGCGCTTCCAGGTGAAAGGATAAGGTAAGGCTTAAGCGGTGAGTGCGTGGGCCTGCTGCCAGCTTGGATGTGACCGGCGGAGTTTCAGCCGGTCGACCGGTTTCAAGCGTTTCCCTATCGGATTCGGGAGAAGGGACAGAATCGTCGGTGTACTCACAACAGCTAAAGTCTGTGCTCACTTGCGTACTGACAAGACATGTTGGATTCATCCAACCAAGTGATACGGCGTTATCTACCGTGCTAGCTACAGTAGCTAGTGACCACTGACCACTGAACCCACATACACCACGACAGGATTCTGGTCCCATCTCCTAATTCACGATGGGTGATAATAGAAAACCAATAGTAATGACCCACGCTGCTGTCTGTCCGATGACTTAGAAGAGTAAAATGTCCACTGATGATGCCACTGACTTAGTGAAGAAAAACTAAGACAAATAGTAAGTGGTAATTAACTTGGATTAGAGAGACCAAACGAGGAGAGGAGGTAGAAAAAGGATAGCTCACCGCGCAGAGAGCCGTGATCATGGTATCGGTGTACACCTCCGGCTCCGTCTTCTGCAGATTGAGGAGCACGGCGATCATGCTCTTCTTGTCGCCTTCGGTGCCGGCATCGTCGAGCCTCCGGCGCTCGTTGTCGATGAGACGATGCAGGAATGCGTCCCTCCTGCTCACGGCGGCCAGGATCTTGTTCCTCACGCCGAACACGTCGAACCACCGCAACACGGGCAGGTAATCCCACGTGTTGGCGGCGCCGAGGTACGGGATGAGCTCGTCCACCACCTTCTTGAACTCCTGGGCCTCCACTGACATGTCCGTGTCGGCGTCGGCCTCCGACCGGGTCCCCTTGGTCTGGGCGATGGTCTCCATGAGCACGCTGAGGGAGAGCTCGAACAGCCTCCGCTTAAGCTGGACCCGCGCGGCGCCGTCGGGGGCCGCGGCGGCGGCGCGGAACAGCCGGCGCGCCATGGCGCGCACCTCGCCGGCGATGACGCCCGACATGCAGGCGACGCGGTGCGCGGAGAGCAGCTGCACGGCGGCGACGCGGCGGAGGTTGCGCCAGTGCGGGCCGTAGCTCGACGTGACGAGCGCGGCGCCGTCGAAGGAGACGAGCAGCTGCGAGGGGAACCGGGGCCGGTTGGCGAACGTCACGTCGTGCTCCGTGAAGCACTCCCTGGCGCACTCCGCCGAGGAGACGACCACGGCGCGGCGCGAGCCGAGGCGCAGCGAGAAGACCGGACCGAGGCGCGCGGCGAGGCGCCACAGCGCGGCATGGAACGGATTCTCCACGAGGTGGAGGTGGCCGAGGAGCGGGATGGCCGGGGGGCTGGGCGGCAGCTGCACGGCGCCCTTGCCGCGTCTGCCATTGCTGACCTTGCCTAGAATGTAGTGGAGCAGGAAGAGGAAGGCGATGGTGAGGACGGCAATGTATGCCTTATCCATGGTGGTCCGGGGGAAGTGTTGTGTCTCGAGTCGTGACACTTGAGGTCTCGGGTTGATTGGATGTGTGTGTCTTGTGTGGCAGTGGCACCATCCTTGCATGGCGGCCTATATATCGCGCCCGTGCGGTACAGGTTGCATACGCCATGCCTGACGTCCATGGCGATGAGGTGGGCTCGGTCAGAGTTTTTAGGGCTCGTGTCACGATTGTTCGTACGTGGAGGCGTGGCTTTGTCTTGTTGCTCGTGCGTCGCTGGCCAGGGATCCCTCTCCCTCTCGGTTGCAAAGGCCAACTCGAACTGGATCTTTTTTTTTAGCATAACTCGAACTGGATCCGGTAGGATTTTCCCGTTGAATTGTATACAACGTTAACTGTGCATGTATACTTTTCTTGTATTTAGGATCACGACGCCCATGACCTGCGTGCCACTCTGGTAGGGCGTTCAGTTCCCCTCTCTGTATATGAGGCTCGTATTATGTCAACAATAACATCAATTGAGTTTATCTCTTCCAACTTGGTATCAGTTACCAGGCCTCTCCACCATGGTCGACCTTGGCACTCCCTCCTCCGGCGCCTCCAGCTCCTCGCCACGGTCTTCTCGGACTTCTGGCATCGTCCCCTCGGCCATCCCGGCACCCACTCTCTTTATGTATTAGCTCGCGATTTTCTTCCCCATTGTAATAAAGCCGCACACTCTTCATGCAGTGCATGCCAGCCTCGCCTTCCCTTTTCTTCTTCTTTTAGCAAAACATTTGCCCCATTTGATATCATACATTGGACATCACCCATTGTAAGTTTTTCGGGATATCAATACTATCTTGTTGTGTTAGATGACTTCACCCACTACTCATGGTCCTTTCCTCTGCGCCATAAATCTGACACCTCCCTCGTTTTACAACGCTTCTTCACGTTTGTTCACACTCAGTATCATGTTGTTATCAAGGCTATGCAATGTGATAATGGTGGTGAATTCATTAAATCTTCCCTACGTACTTTCTTCTCCTCCAACGGCATTGCATCCCGCTTTTCTTGTCCACACACGTCTCCACAAAATGGCAAGGCTGAACGCCCCATTCGTACCACAAACATCATCGTACGCACACTCTTGTTCCAAGCTCATCTTACACCTCCCTTTTGGGTTGAGGCCCTTCACACAGCGACCTACCTACTAAACCGACGACCCTCACGTGCCATTGGCCATCACACACCATATTTCCTTCTCCACGGCGTTCACCCATCATACGATCATTTACGTGTGTTTGGTTGCCTATGCTACCCCAACACATCCATCACCATGGACCACAAACTCTCTCCTCGTTCCATCCCCTGCGTCTTCCTTGGCTACCCTCTCGAGCACAAGGGCTATCGTTGTTTTGATTTAGATTCGCGCCGTGTTATTGTATCACGTCATGTCATTTTTTATGAGCACTCCTTCCCCTACACGCCGCCACAACCCTGCACGTCCACAGAAGATCCCGCACTGCGGATCCCACCCACCAGCCACGCTATCTCATCGGCCAATGCGGAAACCTCGTACCCATCTAATCCACCCAGACTCCCTCCCTCGGATCCCGCTCCCCCGGACCCCACCTCGCCATGCAGTTCCCCGCCTCGCGCTTCACACGCCCCGTCTCGCTCTGCCACGTGGTCCACCCACCCAGCCGCTTCACCCGGGTCCACCCGCACGATGCCAACCGTGTCCACTCCCCACATGTCGCCTCACACCGATTCCGCCGCGCCTGCCTCTGCGACCGGATCAATCTCGGCTCCCGCGTCCTGCCACCCAACCCAGTCTGCCACCAGCCCCACCGAATCCTCCTCGGGATCCTCGCCCCCATGCACGCCTCCACCACGTCTCCCCCAGCGTGCCATGCCCATCCAGCCACCACAAAACGCACATAAAATGTCCACCCGTTCCAAATCCGGTTTTTGCATGCCTCGTCGTCTCTTCCTTGCTGACGTGTCCACCATATCACCTATACCACCCACCTACAAGTCAGCTCTCAAAGACCCAAATTGGCGCCATGCTATGCTAGATGAATACAATGCTTTGATGAACAACTCTACTTGGTCTTTGGTGCCTCAGCCTGCAGGTGTCAACGTGGTCACGGGGAAGTGGATTTTCAGGCACAAGTTCAACACAGACGGCTCCTTGGCACGCTACAAGGCGCGTTGGATGGTGCGTGGGTTCACTCAACGAGAAGGTGTGGACTATGGTGAAACATTCAGTCATGTGGTGAAACCTGCCACCATTCGTGTGGTTCTGAGTCTCGCTACCTCCCGTTCTTGGCCCATTCATCAGTTGGATGTCAAGAATGCGTTTCTTCACGGTGACCTTCATGAGACCGTGTATTGCTCCCAACCATCGGGCTTTGTGGACTCCTCTCATCCGGATCATGTGTGTCGGCTCCACAAGTCTCTTTATGATCTCAAATAAGCACCACGTACATGGTTTCTCCGCTTTCAGGTCTTTCTGCCCTCCATTAGTTTCCGTGGGCCTAAGAGTGACACCTCTCTCTTCATACTACACCATGGTTCATCTCTCGCCTACTTTCTTGTTTATGTCGATGACATCATTGTCACAGCCAACTCCACCCAAACACTCCACCACATCATCTCTTCCCTCAAGTCCGCGTTTTCCATGACCGACTTTGGGCCTCTCCATCATTTCCTCGGCATTAATGTCACCCCAACCCTCTCGGGCCTATTCCTCTCCCAACAACAGTACACGTTGGAGATCCTAGACCGTGTAAACATGCTACACTGCAAACCAGTTTCCACACCAGTTGACACTAGCTCTAAGCTGTCCCTTGCCATTGGTCGTCTATTGTCCAATCCCACATACTATCGCAGCCTAGCCGGTGCTTTACAGTATCTCACCTTGACACACCCGGACATCTCCTATGCAGTTCAGCAGGTGTGCTTGTTTATGCATGAGCCTCGTGACACTCACATGCAACTCATCAAGCGGATCCTTCGGTATCTCCAAGGTACCTGTCATTATGGCATGTAGTTCTACAAGTCCACCTCCACGGACCTCGTTGCTTATACGGACGCCGATTGGGCAGGGTGCCCCGACACCCGCAAATTCACGTCCGGCTTCTGTGTTTTCCTCAGCTCCAACCTTGTCTCTAGGTCCTGTTGGGGAACGTTGCAGAAAATAAAAAAATTCTACGCTTCACCAAGATCAATCTATGGAGTCATCTAGCAACGATAGAGAGGAGTGCATCTACATACCCTTGTAGATCGCGAGCGGAAGTGTTCAAGAGAACGGGGTTGAGGGAGTCGTACTCGTCGTGATCCAAATCACCGAAGATCCTAGTGCCGAACGGACAACACCTCCGCGTTCAACACACGTACGGTTGGGGAAGACGTCTCCTCCTTCTTGATCCAGCAAGGGGGAGGGAGATGTTGATGGAGATCCAGCAGCACGACGGCGTTGTTGGGGAACGTTGCAGAAAACAAATTTTTTCCTACTCGTTTCACCAAGATCATCTAGGAGTTCATCTAGCAACGAGTGATTAGATGCATCTACATACCTTTGTAGATCGCGC